CTTGGATTCGGCACATGGTCGGAGTGGGCACTTTGGCTTTGAAAAGACTTATGGAAGTCTTTTGCAGCAATTTGATTGGCCGTGAATGAAGGGATCCGCTCAGAAGTTCAGTCCTGAATGTCAAGTTTGTCAAAGAACCAAGTTCCATGGGCACACGCGTTACGGCCTGCTCAAACCCCTCCCCATTCGGTGAGTCAGTTTCTATTGACTTCACGGACATGGATAAGATAAGTGAGGGTGGGCATTCACAAGTCATGGTCATCGTGGACTTTTCCAAATTTCTGAACTTGATTCCTTTACCACCTCATGCACCAACTGATCTTGTGATTACATCCTGCAGAACGGACCCCCGAAAACTCTTGTGAGTGATCGGGACACCAGGTCCATTAGTGCAGATTGGCAAGATTTCACCTCTCAGATCTACAACATTAAACTGAAGACGACATCCGGTCAACACCCCGAAGCCAGCGGGTTGGCCGAGGAAATCAACCAGACTGTCATTCAACTTCTTCACGCTCTAATCGTTCCTGATCAGAACACGTGCGACAATAAGTTACATTAAGTGAAGGGGTTGTACAACAACTCCGGTCACTCTGCAGCTAGCATGACACCAAACCAACTGCACTACGGCTGGCAGATGCACAATCCTCTATCCTACTTGTACCCTAATCGGTACCCTGGTCTGACGCCCGTCATGCCTGGTTACAACGCCAAGAGCGCACGCTTGCTTAAAGCTGATATTGCAGCAACGACCAAGCGCCAGCATGCCATGATCAAACAGGCTAACAAGTCGCGCAAAGAAGGGAAATTCGAAGGAGGAAGTTATGCCTGGGTCAAAATGTCTGAATTTTCTGATGAAGAGAGAGTAGCGCAGAAACTTCTTCTGATGTACTATGGTCCTTGTCAGGTTCTGAAGGTAGTAGAGGATGATGAGTTTGGCCCTTTGTATGTGATCGATGCGCCCCCTCATCTGCGCACATACTCGGTCTTTCACGCATGATCGATGCGCCCCCTCATCTGCGCACATACTCGGTCTTTCACGCGTCCAAATTGTTTCCCCACATTGTTGATGAGACCTTTCCTTTCGGAGCTCCTATGATTCCTCGTGCAACCAACGATGGTCACGAAACAGACACAATAAAGGAAAAGGGAGGCAAGACCCGTTGCATGAGCTCTACCGGATTGACCGGAAAGAGCTGTTACAGAATGCTCCCCGTGTTGTTAAAGCTTACGAAACGACATAGCCACTGGACAGACTCTTAAGTTCTCTGCAACACTTCCTCCTTATGGTGATACCACAGCTCTCTTCCTAATCTACGCTTATAACGCATTTTGTAGGGACTCTAAATGAGTTACTCGCTCAAAGGGACCACACTCTTGAGAGGGGGTTAGCGTAATGACCCGCCAAAACACAGACTGAGAACACTGCTGATTTCTGGGTTTTGCCACTGGAATGTATGCCTTGCTGAGATTCCCACGTTCTGATGGGTTTTCTAAGTCCGTGTGCGTGTGCGTGCTTGCTGGTCCATGTGCCTGTCTGAGTGCACGTATGGCCTGACAGCGCATGTGTGTGCCGTGAGGACCACGGGGGCCGGAACTTACCTGTGGTCGTGCCTTTGAGGGTTGCTGCAGGGAAAACACTCCAAGTAGCAGGGAGTAGGCCCGCGACACTCAGGGCAGCGGAGGAAAACACTCGAGACACAGGGAGGCCGGTACCACTCAAGTAGAGGTAGATGTGTCGGGAACTGAAGGCCAAGCAGAAGAAGACAAAAAGTTGGCATTTTCAGAGGCCCAGTAGTGATAGCCTAGAGGTAGCCTGAGTCTAGGGCCTGTGCTGATGATATCAAAGCATGCAATGATGTTTCCCTCCAAAACGGAGGAGGTACCGGTTGCTTGGAGGCCGCACGGCCTGGAAGTCACCACCCAAGAGGCAAGTAGGCTGCTATATCTCCAGGTAGAGTGCTGGGCTCTACATCATTTGCGGCATGCAACTTTGCGCATCATGCTGCTTGAGCGGGGCCTGGTTCTCAAAACGCCCTGGGAGGAAGGAGGAGAGCTGGGCGCTCTGCCCAGCTATGACGAGCAGCCCAGCGTGAGAAGGAAGAAGGGGGCGAAGGAGGAGAGTGGCAAGGTAACGGCCTGGCTATGGTGGACACCATCTTCATCACCTTGTAAGGCGCTGCATCTGGAAGGCGCCAGTTGGAGTAGTGCCGCATCAAGGAAGCTTTGAGGCAGAGCCAGGCAGAGCCAGGCATAGCGGCCTGAGGAGCAGTGGCCATAGCTGCGTTGCGTTGTCTTTTGCACAGGAGGGCAGGGCCCTTATTAGTCCGCCATAGCCTAGGCCTGTGAGAGGAAGGAGAAAAGGGAGGCCATGCGGTGGACCTTTAGCTGAGTTGGCAGTAAGAGGGAACTTCAGATATTGATTCTGGTCCGACCACTGATTGTTATTCTTATTATTTTGGCGAAGAACGAGACTGGTGGAGATAAAAAGGAGGAGAGCGGAGAGAGAAGGGGGCTTTGTCATTCGTCTTGCTGGTGTACATCCTTCTTCTTTTCTTTCTTCTTCGTTGGTCTCTATCTCTTTGCAAGTGCTTTCATTTCTTTCACAATTGGGTGGCATTGTCTTTCCTTGTGAATTTGCAGTTCCGAAATAGCCAGGATCGTAACAAAGGGATACAAGAGCCTATTTGCACATCAAGGTCACTTGGATCTAAGACTAGAGTCCACAGCCAGGATCTAGGGCTAGGGTCTAAAGCTACCTTAAATTTACTAGCCAGAACTAAGCTATCCTAAGGTTATGTGTCTACGCTTAACCATGCTCTTTTTAACGGATTTAACTTTTCTTGAGTGCAGGTTGTGTGATTGGCCTTAGTCTGAGAGGTGAAATGCCACATGGAGGCAAATCATCTATCACATTGGGGACAGATGACTAAACAACATCTCAAAGCGCTACACCCAAAACAGTGTATAAAATGCATGATAATGGTCAGCAAGGCATGTGGCTATAAAGGGCGCACTCTTTGTCGCTGACCTTTCTTTATGTTGTACCCACAGCTCCGCAGGAATGGGCCCATCTTCTTTTCGACCTCATCATACCTGCCAGAGCACAGAACAAACACAACAGAACGAAATAAAGGGGAGTGACAAACCAGCCCCAGCACAACTCCATCAGCTGGCCAGAAATGGGTGAATAAAAGGTATAGGGGCCATTGCAAACGGAGCACGATTCAAGATCACCAAGTCAGCACAGACTAACACCACCACCGTTTCCCCAAAGGGACCAAACATCTTTTTGAACAGACATTATCCCTCCATGTACACAACCCCCCCGTCCAATTTGCTCGAAGGAAACAATAACCAAAAGAGAACCAAGACAATTGACACAATCAAAGCCCTGCACCTGCTTTGCATTCTCCTATTGTTGGCTCACAGCAGGCACATGCCCTTTTTTACTTTTTACTACCCTTCTTTCGGCGAAGGAAAAAGGACATCAATCTCTGACTGGACCCACAACTGTTCCTGCAAACTTACAGATGCTGAAACCATCTTGTTTAAAAACCTCCCTGTAGTTATGACCATGCAGTTTCCATTTTTCGCCTGCGGCTGAAAAAACGACAGAAAGAGAAGCAGATGGTGAAACAGAGGAGGAAGGGGAAGAGCAAAAGAGAGACTGAGGCAGACAAAGAGAGAGAAAGAGAAGCATAAAGGCAGTGAGAGCAAGAGAGGCAGAGAAAGAGAGAGAGAAACAGATAGAGAGGAAGAGAACGAGAGCGGCAATCACACACACACACACACACACACACACACACA